AACACTCCTGGGTTTGGCAGTACCACCAATAGGTATCATATTGAGCACCACTATCAAGTAAGAGCACACCATTTGTCTGTAATTATATCTACATTGTATTACACAAAGTTTTTGATGGTTATAGATTTTGTGGATTTTGTGATTTGTTAAAGCTAGTTCACAAAAATACCCTGTACTATAGCCCATAGTTTTTCCAAAAAATGGCCCCAAAATTGTCTCAATTTTTTTATTACATTTTCTGATACATATTGACATCCTTATGCTGTGTAGCAAGTTTGAGGTGATTCCGACTTCAATTTTTCAAGTTAGGGCCATTTTAAGAAAACGTCAAAATTCTAAAAAATACCCAAGGCTATAGCCCATGGTTTTTTCCAAAAAATGGCTCCAAAATCACCCCAAATTTTTATTACATTTTCTGATTTATATTGATGTACTTATGGTGTGTAGAAAGTTTGAGCTGATTCCGACTTCAATTTTTCAAGTTACGACCATTTAAAAAATTAGCCAAAATCTAAAAAATACCCAAGGCTAAAGCCCATATTTTTTTCAAAAAAATGGCCCCAAAATTGTCTCCAATTTTTATTACATTTTCTGATACATATTGATGTACTTATGCTGTGTAGCAAGTTTGAGGCGATTCCGACTTGAATTTTTCAAGTTATGGCCATTTTAAGAAAATGTCAAAATTCTGAAAAATACCCAAGGCGCCCATGGTTTTTCCCAAAAATGGCTTCAAAATTACCCCAAATTTTTATTACATTTTCTGATTTATATTGATGTACTTATGGTGTGTAGAAAGTTCGAGGCGATTCCAACTTGAATTTTTCAAGTTACAACCATTTTAAAAAATTAGCCAAAATCTGAAAAATACCCAAGGCTATAGCCCATGATTTTTTTCCAAAAAATGGCTCCAAAATTGCCCCAAATTTTTATTACATTTTCTGATTTATATTGATGTACTTATGGTGTGTAGAAAGTTTGAGCTGATTCTAACTTCAATTTTTCAAGTTACAACCATTTTAAAAAATGAGCCAAAATATGAAAAATACCTAAGGCTATAGCCCATGGTTTTTTCCAAAAAATGGCTCCAAAATTACCCCAAAATTTTATTACATTTTCTGATACATATTGACGTCCTTATGCTGTGTAGAAAGTTTAAGCTGATTCCGACTTCAATTTTTAAAGTTACAGCCATTTTAAGAAAATTCCAAAATTCTGAAAAATACCTAAGGCAATAGCCCATGGTTTTTCCCAAAAATAGCCCTGAAATTGTCCCCAATTTTTATTATACATGTATTTTCTGATACATATTGATGTCCTTATGCTGTGTAGAAAATTTATGCTGATTTCGACTGAAATTTTTTGAGTTACAGCCATTTTAAGAAAACATCGAAGTTCTGAAAAATACCTAAGGCTGTAGCAGATGGTTTTATTATGAAAAATGGCCCCAAAATTGTCTCCAATTTTTATTAAATTTTCTGACACTTATTGACGTCCTTATGCTGTGAGAAAGTTTGAGCCAATTCTGACTGAAACTTTTTGGTTTATTTCCATTTTAAAAAGATCAATCATTTTTAATTGAGTAAAAGATGGCAGACAATACAATGTGTTCATTCATGAAAATTAGATCCTCAAAAGCCCTCAATAATAATTTTGTATATGCACTTGTTTATTTTAAATTCACTTATGTGTAGCTATTGCTTTTAAATTTTTTTCTCTGTCTTTATATTTCTAATTCTTTTCATTTGTTATTTTCCAGGAGAGTCACCTCCAGATTAATCCTCATGCTATAGTGGCCATTGGACCTGACATTGACTATACCACACCTCATGATCGTGCCACAAAGTTCAATTGAGCCGATCCATCAAACTATATAGAGCATTCTTAAAGTAGTAGGCTTTATTCAAACTAACTTGTGTAGTTTTAGTAGTTTTTTTTCAGTTTTTTCATGATAGAGTTTTAAGGAATATTTTATGAGCATTTACCTGCGTAAAAATAGCCACTCTGTTGTTTTTTAATATTTTTATGATGTAATATCTATGATAATAATTAGAATTGCAGCGATATAGTTAAACAATAATTTCAAAGTTTTATTGACTAGAGAAGGTTTCATTACAAGCTGCATAAGCTAGTGCATAATTGAAACACTGACCATCATGAAGTTTCTATTCAAAAGAAAGAAAGAATCATCACTTATTATAATTGATGTAACACAATACACTCACCAGTACATTAACACAGACCCTCATGCAGGAATTAAGATAAGTATTACCATCAATCCCACACTCATAACTGACAGTATTATCACAATCACAGGGAGTGAGACACACACCATAAAGATGAAAACTAGCTCCTTGAATTGGTAACTGTTTAGCTACACTAGCAGCAAAATCAGGAACACAAACTTGGGTATGATGACACCTGTCATTAATAGCGATACATTATGTACATTAGCCAGATATATTTTGATCAAACTTACCTAAAATCATTATTATTTCCAACAATACACCTCTCATTACTACTAATGTATGGTAAACAATATTGAGTGTCTGTTGTCTCAAGACTAAGAGAGCTGTCACCATCAAATGCATCATCATGTAACTGCTTGACATTGTCATACTGGAAAGCACCAGATCCAATGAAGAGGTTTCTGATGGAACCTTTGAATTGAAATCTTTTAGTACCTGGTCTGCCACCCACATAGAGAATGTTATACTAGAATAGAAAAAGAGACATAATGCTTTTAAATTGCCATAGATCTAGCTCAAAAAGCTATAGTCAGAATCAGCTCAAACATTCTACATAGCATAAGGATGTCAATATGTATCAGGAAATGTAAT